ACGAACTACTAACCTGGCAAAGACACAAATAAACAATGAATTTTTGGTTCAAACCCAAACATTAATGCGTTGTTTTCGGTATAAAAAAAAAGTGAAGGGATCAACCATCTACGTAACTACACAAATAAAATGGGAAAATAGTATAAAAAGACACTAGCACTTTAAACCTCCAAAGTTTATTACTCACACAATAAACTTTTAAAGTACCAATCTTAACTAGGGGTAGAATTATTATCCGGGATCCGAGATCCGATCCGTTGTCCATTCAGAATCGCTCCGAAAATTACGATATTTCAGAGTCCAGATCCGGATAAGGATAGTAAAATTTAGGATCAGTGAAAAAAGGATCCGGATTCGGATAGTAAAATTTTAAGGTCCGGATATCCGAATCCGGATCCGGACGCATTAAATATATTAAAACCATATATATTATATATCTATTAAACTAATTTTATATAAATAAATATATATAAAAATTGATTTTAGTTTTTTTATAATAAATTATATTTATAATGAAAAAATACCATTTAAAATATTAACTAATAATTTTTAAAAATATATTTTTATCTATTTTTTAATTATTTTAATTATTTTTAATATTAATTTCGGATCCTGATCCGGATCCGGATATCCTGATTTTTGGAAAGATTTATAGAGTCCGTATATCCGGAGGTCACGATTCTGGACCCGGATAGTTTTTTCACGTATCCGAAGATTCCGGATCCGAATCTCACCCCTAATCTTAACTAAATAAACCTTTAAACTAATTTTTTTATGCACGTCGACATTTTATATAACCGAACAGTTAACACTGTTAACGGAATGAATGGATATATAACTTTTTGTCAACAAAATGTTTGTCATATCAAAATGAAATGAATGGATATATAACTTTTTTTTAACATCTTTTTATTCATATAATAGTTAAGATTACATAGTACACACTGAAAATAAAAAATTACAACCAATAATTCTAAGAAAATTTGAGTTTATTTTAAAATTCTAATATACTGATTAATCATGTTAATTGTGAAGCCCAAAGGATACATATGGGCCTCCTAAAATTATTAGTGGGCCCGAGACGAAACATAAAGCTAGCGGATAAAAGCATGACTAATTACGGATGTGCCACTCCCCCGCATCGCGCGATTTGGCTGTTGCAATCTGTAAGAGCACTCTTCGTCTTCTTCACTTACCGGAATAAGCTCTAAGCAGCTCCGATAGGTGAAAATGTGTTACTCTCTCTCTTTACAATCTCCAATAAACTTCCGTAATCGTCACGCCCTGAAAATCCATGGAGATCGAGCAGTTTTGATTTCAAACTCAGCTACACTGGGATTGCCGGAGCGAGATCGTCGGGGAAAGTTGCTCCTCTGCCATGGGAAAGGCGTACACTCGTTGAGATTCGGCGGAAACGTTGACGTGAAGCTATGCGGTATTCCGCGTCATCGATTAAGAGTACATTGCAGCGATGCTCGCCGTATGCCGGAAGATCGGCACGAGGCGGAAAAGACGGCGGAGGCGGTGACAGTGACGGATCAACCTGATTTTTCGGAATTTATAACGTCGGAGAGGGTGAAAGTGGTCGCGATGCTCGCGCTTGCCCTTGCGCTCTGCAATGCGGACCGTGTTGTGATGTCAGTCGCGATTGTTCCTCTTTCGCTTTCTCGTGGATGGAGCAAGTCGTTTTCCGGTATCGTTCAGGTTATTCTTGCACAGAGTTTTGATTCTTCTTTCCGCAGTTGGTGCTTCCAAGAACACTCATAGACTGTCACCATTGTTCTCAATCTCATACTTTCTTGTTTGCTTCTATGGTAGTCATCATTTCTATGGGGATACCTAATTTCACCAATAGCCGGCGGAACTTTGGTGGACCGCTATGGCGGTAAAGTAGTAATGGCGTGGGGAGTAGCTTTGTGGTCGTTGGCTACCTTTCTTACCCCTTGGGCTGCTGATACTTCTTTGTGGGCTCTGCTTGCTGCAAGAGCTATGGTTGGAGTTGCTGAAGGAGTGGCTCTTCCTTGCATGAACAACATGGTTGCGAGGTAGTGACATTTTGTTTCTCAATACTTTCTTACACATGTTTGGAAACAAGTGAGACTAGTTACTGGAATGTATGGATTTCATAGTGATAGTACTTTTGGTGTAGATGGTTTCCTCCAACAGAACGTTCTAGGGCGGTTGGCATTGCAATGGCGGGATTCCAGCTTGGGAATGTTGTAGGACTCATGTTGTCTCCTATTCTTATGTCTCAAGGCGGTATATACGGCCCTTTTGTAATCTTTGGCTTATCGGGGTTCCTCTGGTTGCTCGTTTGGCTATCTGCTATGTCAAGTGCACCAGATCGACATTCTCAGATTACAAAGTTTGAACTCGAGTACATAAAGCAAAAGCAGCAAACATCTATTAGGGAGAACAAACGAAACACCACAGGCGTAATCCCTCCCTTCAGGCGCCTCCTCTCCAAGATGCCGACTTGGGCTGTTATAGTTGCAAATTCCATGCATAGCTGGGTATGTTTATAAATTCCCTTCAGTTTAACTGTTCATTTGTTCTTGTCACTGCGAGAAAATGTCTTGATTTTTTCTTGTAGAAGATAAACTGTTAGCACCCACTCATGCACTCAGCAGATAATGTTCAGGGGTTTCTTCATTTGTTAAGTTCATCTAACTAACTATAATCTACTCCGACAGGGTTTCTTTGTGATCCTTTCATGGATGCCTATCTACTTCAATTCAGTAAGGCCCTAGCACCAACAAATTGTAAATATATTCTTCTTCTTTCTAGTCTTCTTAAGAGATAGAATAACATGTGGCAGGTATATCATGTAAACCTCAAACAAGCTGCTTGGTTCAGTGCTGTTCCATGGAGTATGATGGCTTTCACAGGATACCTTGCTGGTTATTGGTCGGACCTGTTGATACGGCGTGGTACAAGCATCACTTTAACGCGAAAAATCATGCAGGTTTGTTTACTCCCCTGTCACTAGACCAAATTCAATCATTTAGGTCTCTCGGACTGAGGAGTTCTGTTATACATATCAGAATGGTGTTGAAGTCTGATGCAATAAAATCTGGTGCATTCAGCTTTTGAATTCTTTTCTCTTTTGCTGTCTGGGGGATTTCGTTCCTTGTTTTGGCAGTCCATTGGTTTTATTGGTCCCGGGATTGCTCTCATTGGTCTAACCACAGCAAAACGGCCTTTAGTAGCATCTGCCTGGCTTAGCTTAGCCGTTGGACTTAAATCGTTCAGCCACTTGGGGTTTCTTATTAATCTTCAGGTAGCCAAGTGTGTGATTCATGCTTAACCCACTACAAATCTTGAATTTCTTTAACAATTTTTTATTGCCTTGTTCCAGGATATTGCTCCAGAATATTCTGGTGTTCTACATGGTACACTTTCTAATTCTACTTTCATTGATATTGGTTTCCAAAGCTTCTATTTGGCTCATTAAACACAGATAGCTGATTTGTATGTACCATTTGAGAAGGCAATGGCCTTGGAATCAATCAAAAGGAAAAATGGAAGCGTTTTACCAAAAATCTTCTGACGGTTTCCGGCTTGTTATAGGAATGTGTCTTACTGCTGGGACGTTGGCTGCAATAGTTGGTACAGTTGGAGCTGGTTTCTTTGTAGAACTATTGGGTTCCTTCCAAGGATTCATCCTTCTCACAGCAATTTTATATCTCCTTTCTGCTCTCTTTTACAACATATATTCAACTGGAGAAAGAGTCGATTTTGACTCAGCAGGTCCGTCCTCTATCTCTTGTTCTCCGGGGTTATGTTGTTTTCTTTTTCAATCATTTTGTAATGATTTATTGTTCCAGTATTTTGCATCATTGTAATGGTAAATGTTTGGTCTTGTTGGCAGCTTGAAGGAGGACCAGAAAATAGAGATAATAGGTGGATGAGGTAGTAGAGAAGTTGCAACTATAAAATAGAATCAGTTTCTCCTCTTCAAGTAAATATCAGGGAAAAGATGCATTGGTCTTGTATAGTTACTAGAGAAGATCTCTACCTTTTTCTTCTCTTCTGGTTTATTCCTTGATAAATAAAAGAATATGTACCAACCTACCATGTTTTTCTATGTTCAATGTCCATGAATAAAAAGAATACTCCTTTTAAGAAGCAAAGCAAACATCTAACAT